ATTTTCAGAAGATACATGTGGCTCTGCTACTTTGTAGTTCAGGCTGGTTCTGTATTCCCTATACTGTACAAGAGATGGGGGCGGGGGAGAATCAGTTTCTCTTCCAGAATATACAGTCTTTTCATGTGTTTGTACAAGAGAAGAGCAGGCTTTTAGCTTGTACTGGAATGGCTGCATCCTTAAGTTATTAAATCTGGTAAGTTATTTGATGCTCACAATTCGTAATTTGTTTAGGACTTTGTTGTGGAAGGAGATCCTGATCATCCCCCTTTTTATTGATTCAGAAGTAATCTAGACACTGTCTAAATATCAAAATGCATCAAAAGAGTCATACATTTGCTGTAGCCCAAGTAGCTTTTGCTTTCAAAGGTATGTATAGCACTCCTATACAGGTGTATTCAGAAGTAAGCCCCACTAATAATACTGTGTACTATTTGCTCCCACATACGTGTGCATACAATTTTAATGGTATTGCCTTAAACCTCCCACAAAATAGGGATATGCTTAAAAATTTCCATTTTGTTCATGAATTCAGGAACAAACTGACCTTCTTTGTATCTCCTGAATTAGAGGTTCAGCTGTCTAATGGCTTTTCCATTTGAGGAAAGTTTTCACAAGGGTCTTGGCTCAAAAGAAGTATTTTTCAAAATGCCTATGCTGAAAGGAACACATGTTTTAAGATAGATATTTAGATGCACGTGAGCACATATTTGTGTCTGCAAACCTTTAGAGGGGAAATGCAGATTGATGTGGAAGCTGTACGGAATTAGCTTACAGCTGAATGTATGCAAACATGAGATGGACCAGAAGTAGACTGGCTGTCCACTGAGCCCTTGAAGATTTTTGGGGATTGTGGAGATATATTGAAGTATGATATCAGGAACATCTGCATGAACCTAGAGGGAGAGTGTTCACGTGTGTGTTATAGTAAGTTTCTTTGAATCTGTATATTGACTATATCTGGCTCTCATTTATTTTCAGAGCATGACCAACAACCAAACCATTTACTTAAAATGTAAATAAAGTGAGAGGTGTCTTGAGTTCTGTGTCACCCAAGAGCAATATTTTATACCTCAGTCATAAACCCCGGTGTTGATGGGATAGCTGCATTAGTCTGCATACTGAACTGAAAATACTTTACCTCAGCCTCTCATTGCCCATGGACTCTGTGTGTGTGTGTGTGTGTGTGTGTGTGTGTGTGTGTGTGTGCGCGCACGCGCGCATGCATGTGCGCACAAGCACGGTGTGTGTGCGCGCGCGCGCATGCATGTGCGCACAAGCACATGCGCTCTCTTGTAAATGCAGTGGTGACAGAGGAAGAGACACGTTGTGCTTCCAGGTATCAATATTTAGTTCTAATGGCCAAAGAGCTTACAAAGATTACTTGTGTTGCTGGCATTTCAGCAACAAAACCATTAATCTTGTCAGCTAAAAGGGCTACAATCTTACATCTGCTTACTAGACAGTAAACTGTGCTGAGCTCAGTTGTCCATCTGAGTTACGAGACTTACTTCTCAGTAAACATACGTTTTTATGATTGAGGTATAAAATATTGCTCCTGGATTGGAAAAGATCAGTCTACATCCCAATCCCAAAGAAGGGCAGTGCCAAAGAATGCTCCAACTACCGTACAATTACACTCATTTCACACGCTAGCAAGGTTATGCTCAAAATCCTACAAGGTAGGCTTCAGCAGTATGTGGACCGAGAACTCCCAGAAGTACAAGCTGGATTCCGAAGGGACAGAGGAACTAGAGACCTAATTGCTAATATGGGCTGGATTATGGAGAAAGCCAGAGAATTCCAGAAAAACATCTACTTCTGCTTCATTGACTATGCAAAAGCCTTTGACTGTGTGGACCAGAGCAAACTATGGCAAGTCCTTAAAGAAATGGGAGTGCCCCAACACCTTATCTATCTCCTGAGAAATCTATATGTGGGACAGGAAGCAACAGTTAGAACTGGATATGGAACAACTGATTGGTTCAAAATTGGGAAAGGAGTACTTCAAAGCTGTATATTGTCCCCCTGCTAATGGCCACTGGTCCCATCACCTCCTGGCAAATGGAAGGGAAAGATTATGGAGGCAGTGACATATTTTCCTTTCCTGGGCTCCATGATCACTGCAGATGGTGACAGCAGCCATGAGATTAAAAGACATCTGCTTCTTGGGAGGAAAGCGACTACAAACTGAAACAGCATTTTAAAATGCGGAGACATCTCTTTGCCGACAAAGGTCTGCATAATCAAAGCTATGGTTTTTCCAGCAGCGATGTGTGGAAGTGAGAGCTGGACCATAAAGAAGGCTGACTGCGAAAAATTGATGCTTTTGAATTGTGGTGCTGGAGGAGGCCCTTGAGAGTCCCCTGGATTGCAAGGAGAAGAAACCTATCCATTCTGAAGGAAATCAACCCTGAGTGCTCACTGGAAGGACAGATCCTGAAGCTGAGGCTCCAATACTTTGGCCATCTCATAAAAAGAGAAATCTCCCCAGAAAAGACCCTGATGTTGGGAAAGTGTGAAGGCAAAAGGAGAAGGGGATGACAAGAGGACGAGATGGATGGACAGTGTCATCAAAGTGACCAACATGAATTTGACCAAACTCCGGGAGGCAGAGGAAGACAGGAGGGCCTGGCGTGCTCTGGTCCAGGGGGTCATGAAGAGTTGGACACAACTTAACGACTAAACAACAATAATAACAAACATACATACTTAAACTAGTTCGGTAATTTTCTCCTGTATACACACATAACATTGCCTTCCTGAGGATAGTATCAGTAAACTCATTTGGAGTGGGAAAGAGTTACATTTGTTGTGCTACAACTCCTAGAACCATAGGCCATGCTGAATGCAATAACTTTCCCTACCTCTATTTAATCCATAATGTTTTACTAAGAACAGGTGATATAATTTATAATTTTAACAGGGGATATAAATTATAATTTCACTCAAAACAGGGGTACTCTAGCAGATTAACTAGGAAAACTAAGACCCCAAATGGTTCATTACTTTTAGTGGCACAGATAGTGTACCCCTTTCTTTGTGTGGCCTGTTAATCTGAAGACATTTGACTTAACCGAAGCTAAGCAGGTCTGGACTTAGATGGGATATAATAGGGGAACCTGGGTATACAGGCTAACAGTTTGTGTTGTAAGAAAGCAAGACTGTAAAATATTAAGCTACCACATCTGCCCTCCTGCTAGCTCAGGATATGAGAAGAGGGCACCATTTAAATTTCTCCACCCATCGACTTTAATGGAAAGAAAATAGCTGGGGCCAGATGAACTGGAGAAAGGGAAGGCGCTATTGGACCATCGCCAACGATAACCTTTGGCCAGTGAACATTCTACAGGATATGTGAGTCACTTCATCCACACTTTGTTTTTGCAGCAATAACCTTGCAAGAGAGACAGGGAGTGACTGGTCCAGGATCCCCTACTAGGTTCCATTGTTCAGGAGAGACTCAAATCAGAATCTCCCAAGTCCCAGCTCTGCAGGCCACTCTTCTACACCGCACTACCCACTTATGCATCTTCCTGTGTCTCCTGGTGAAGACAGGGTTGCTCCTTTAGTTGCAATTTAGTTTTTTTTTCCCCCTTCGCATTATATATAGAAAGAAAGGCTAATTACAAGACTTATTTGGTGAAGACAGGGTTGCTCCTTTAGTTGCAATGTAGTTTTTTTCCCTTCACATTATATATAGAAGGAAAGGCTAATTACAAGACTTATTTGCACTCTCATACAGTATCTGCAGTTCATTGACAGACGTTATCACTGTCCTACAGTATGAACAAAGGCAAAAACAATGTTCAGTGTTATTTATCTTTTTGTTATGTCTTTCCATCATTAACTTTGAATTATTCATGTGGCACATTTATTCTAGAAGCACAAGGAACTGAATTATATTGTATTTCTTTTTTTTCTTTTTCTTTTTTGCATCTTCATTTCTTTTGTGTAATTCACCATACTTTTTATTAATAAAATTTCTTAAATAATTGAGCTTTGTTCTTATGCCTTGAAATATTTACTGTATTCCCAGTGTTTAATTATCTCAATTTTTTTTAAAGGAGCATATACAGGACTTAGTGAAAACATTGTTACATAAGGAACAGTAGCAAATGGTACCCCAGTCAAAGGACCTCAAGCCGGGTATCTTAGTAAGGCACACAAGGCAGGTACTGCTCTACTGTCCTTTCATTGGCTGAAATCCTGTTGTGCAGTTACATAAAATACGTAACTTTTGGAAGCAAATTCACATATGTTAAGAAATCTCCATGGGCACTATCTGTTGCATGCAAAATCACACAATTCAGTATGCAACAGATACTGCCTATGGAGATTTCTTAACTTATGGAAATTACCTTCCAAAAGTTATGCTATTTGCATAACTGCAAACAGGATTTCAGCCAATAAAAGCAAATTTAAAAAGTAGCCATTTCCTGTACTTCCATAACAACCAGAATCTGCTATCTGTGGTAGCTACCTCAATCAACTGCCTGGGAGGCTTCACCTTGTGTGTGCATCAATTTTGAACTGTTTTAAAGGTTTACAATTTTACAGCTTTCCCCTAGAAGTGTCTGTAACTAAAAGGTTAGTAATTTAAAAGCAGGAGCTAACATTCAGTCCTTGCTTTATGAAAAGGCTGTATTTTCTCACTTTGTTATAGTGTGTTCATCTCTGCCGCAGTTTAGTTCCCACTATCCCTTTTGTGTGGTGCTTCAGTGGAGTGGTAACCCTACCCCAATAACTTTTCCAAATTTTCAGCAAGTGGATTAGTAATTTCTGAAACTCCAGTTTACCACATGTCCTGCAGTCGCTTGATGTTACTGTCATAGGAAGCCTCAAGCTCCCACTTGCCATTTTCAGCAAATACACAAGTGAATCCCATTGTTGGCTTCCCTGCCCATTGTCGTTTTCTTACTTTTCTGCCGCACTGCCTGGAGATACATCCGTTTGCACATTTTTATAATCATGGGTTTGCTCTTCGTCTTGCAGAAAAGAGAGTTTGATGTGGACAACCTCAGCAGATCTGAACTGAGGATGCTTCTGAGTGTTCTGGAAGGGGAGCTGGAGGCACGAGATCTCGTCATTGAAGCCTTAAGGGTATGTTGCTGGTTAATACCTTTTTTTCCCCCGTGGGTTCAGTTTTCAAATCTAGAATGTTAAAATATTCCCGGTAGAAGAAACTACTGTTACTGTAATATATAAAAACAAAAAGAACTCAGTCATATGCAAGTGTTGACAGATGGGAAGTATAAAAAATTAAATCTGATGCATTTTCCAATACAAGTGTATACAGGACATAATGTATCAAGGACATAATGTATCAGAACAGATTTTCCTTTGTCTAACGAACAGGTTTATTATGTTTTCTTATTTTTCTTAAGTGAGAGGTGGGGAACCCCTTGTAACGCTAAGCCTCAACGTTTTCTCGTGAGTAACAATGTGACAGTGACAGGTCCAAAATTAAAAAAAAATGGGCATATTCTTTGCACGCACATACACATGCTTATATTATCTTCTCCAGTATTACAGTTAGAGTTGAGAGGGACTGCTCCATGACTCTCTCCCTGCCCCCTCTCCGAAGGCTAGCTGCCCCTGCCTAATTCCTCGAAGGCTAACAGAATGCAGACTGCTCTTTTACAGCCCACTGGTTCCTCATCCTTGCCCCAAATACATACTTCTTCAGTATGGCACATAGACAACACTTTCTGCTTGTCACCTTCTTGCTCTGGAAGTGAGCCCCTCTTTCATATGCAGAAAATCACATGTTTCATCCCAGTTTTCTACTGGTCAAAAGACCAGGTAGCAAGTGATGGGGAAGACCATCATTTCCCAAAACCCTAGAGAGTTACTTCCAAGGGAAGTGACCTTAAAGCAACCCTAAAGTGATAACACAAAATGAACAAAAAGAGAGAGAAAGAAATTGAAACATAGGAACATTTTCCAATACAGTTAATTTGATACAAAACTGGCTTCAGATAAAGAAAAGATAAAATCAGTAACCATGTCACTAGGTTAGGTGGTTGAGAGTTCCTAGGTCTATTTAGTCTTCATCCATTCATGTCTTTTCGTGGGGAGGAATTTAGCTCCATCCCTCCTCTTTTCCTGCCTCCTGCACTAGAAGAAAATGAAGCTAAAGAAGAAGTTGCCTACTGTGCATGGTGGTTATCCACATGAGTCAGGACCCTAGAAAAGCAGAGTTCCAACTCGCATGGAGAGCCTCCACAGATAGTGGACCTCTTCTTCTTCAGACTTATTGCCCTCCATGTGTACAAAGGTGAGGAAACAGAGCCTCCACAGATAGTGGACCTCTTCTTATTGCCGTCCATGTGTACAAAGGTGAGGAAATCAGGAATGCAGGAGGGCAGGGATAGAGTGCTCCCTTCTTCCTCTGGTGAGTACAGTGGTTAATGACTGAAATTATAGTTAACAACTAACTGGTGTGTAGTTGTTAAGACTAGAGCATTACATAGGCAGAGCATACATAGAGAAGCATGATACAGAAGCAGACAGCAGCTCTTTCAGAGATCCCTGTGCACCAGTATTGTGAGTGGGGTTGGTGTAGTTGGTTCAAATTTGTTGCTGAATCTGAGTTGCAAAAGTACATTTCCAACTTAATACATTGTTAACTAGGCTTTGTATAATCTCCCAAGCAGTCCTCCTAACGCAGGATTGAAGTAGGGATTCACCTAGAACATCCTCTTCCACTCTGATGCCCTGGCCTTTTTAAAAAAAAACTAAAGATGTTAATTGCCCTTGCTAGCAGAACGAGTGGCAATGGATATTGGAATTTGCAGTCTAAAATATCTGGAGAAAGCAGCTGGCAGAAGAGCGGTAGTTCCCAACCTTGAGTCCCCTGGCCAGCACAGCGAGTGGAGAAGACTTCTGAGACTTAGTTCAAGAACATTTTGGGACCCAAGGTTGGGAGACACTATCCTAGAGGGTTCTCCAGAAGATTGAGTCTTGTTTCAGATTGGCACGCTTATACAGGTACTCAGTGACTTGATGTGATATGGTTTTGTTTTTCCTCTGTTTTGTTCACTTTGACCTTATTTATGCAGTAGGACAAGTGAAAATACAGCGAGCCCTAAGCCAGTGAGCCAACCAAGGTGTTGTAGTTTCTTCAGACTTCACAATTATCTGATTAAAGACACATAATTGTGTTGTGGGAAGGGGTTGTGGTTGTCAGTTTTAATTCTTTTCTAGTTGTATTGAAGTTGCTGTCTAAAAGGTGTTGGACTACAATACTGGTTCTTCCTCACCACTGGCTTTGTTGGCTAAGATTAGTGGGATTTGCCTTTCAGCCACATGTACTGGTTCTTCCTCACCACTGGCTTTGTTAGTGGGATTTGCCTTTCAACCACATGTGGAAGGCCACCATTTGACCTGCTGAAGACACTTACCTGGTATAAGCCCCAACTGAGTACAGTGGAAATTAGGGTTGTTGTTGTGGGTTTTTCGGGCTCTTTGGCCGTGTTCTGGATGTTGTGTTGTCTGTTCTGACTCCTGTCCTCTGAAGATGCCGGCCACAGAGACTGGCGAAATGTTAGGAAGAACAACCTTCAGAACATGGCCGAAGAGCCCAAAACCCCACAACAACCATCAGATCCCAGCTGTGAAAGCTTTCGAGAATACAATGCATAGGATTGTTTGTCATTGTGATTGAAGATAAACCTATAAGCAGTTGCTAGTAATTGCATTTTATGGAAAACCACACTTTGGAGCTATTTGAAGAAAAGATATTCTCGGGGTGGGGAGGTAATGTATAAAATGCTGCAGTGGGAAGAGAATAAATAGTCATCCAGCTGTTGTTGGCCTGCAGTTCCCATCAGTCCTAGATAGCACAGCCTTCGGAGAAGGATCATGGAATTGTAATCCAAGTGCATCTGGAAGGTCATCATTCCTGATATACAAAATGAGGCACATGTTTGTACGATGCTTTCTAGGAAACTTTGATTTGGGGGCAGTGTGTGTTTTATTTATGACCAGATTGGGTGAGTTTGGGAAATCCTACAAGGGTTTCCCTGCTTTGGCATCATCTTAATTTAAAGAGAAAACAGTGGAGTTGAAAGAACTACCCAATGTGACATGTAAACAGTTTTATTCTCTCGGTTTTGCTGCTGAGATCAGCCTGTCCTTCTCTACAGGCAATCCAGTATGACACTTGCCACAAGCAAACAAGAAAAAAAAAATTCAGTAGTGCAAGCGGCAAGTAAAGAGCATCTGAGCATAAGGAATCTGATATCCTAAGCTTGGGTTCCAAGAAAGGCAAAATCCAGAACTAAGGACTTGCATTCAGTGATGTTACTGAGCCTAGCTGCTGCAAGCTATATTAAAATATGGATTGATGTGTAGTTATTTGTGCAGGAGCAGGTGATACCTTTAATCAACCAAGAATATAAAATTAACAAAACAAATAGCGAGCTTTCGATGATAAATCATCTTCATCAAGTTCTTATGGGCAGTTCCGAACTTAAGTGCTGTTTATAATGTCCCAAATTCATATGGCTGCTGGTATAAAGGCCCAAAGCCTCCCTGCAGAAACACACTGGGACAAACATCTTGCTTGTTGACCTTTACCAATGGCTTTTCAAACAATATCTCAACAGCACCAGTAGACTCAAACTTCTCCCCTCTCTCCAACAGGGAGAGAAAGGGGTTCAACAACTTCTTTCCAGAAACTTCTCTTTACACGCCTCTTCCATTACCCAGGCCTGCTCTCCCTTTCCCTCTATTCCTGAAGCGGGTTCCTGCTGCAGTGACAGCCAGAGCAAGGACAGTAGTAGTTAAAGCTTCCCACTGCTTGTCTTGCTTGCTGCTCCCTCTGGTGAGGCTCATTTCCCAACCTCTGCTGGTGAGGAGGTCCACCTCATGTAGGGATTCCATCTCTCTTTACCCTCACTCTGTCCTTCTTCATAAGTCACTCTTTCTTTCACCCTCCTTCTCTCTCGTCTTTCCTGTTCCCTCCCAATATGACCGTTTTCTCAGGGAACAGTACCTCCTTTTCTCCAGGCACCATCAAATTTTCCCACTCGTTAGTCCAGGATTAACCATTCCCACCCCTCAGGCAGTTCTCATTCCTCCTTCTCCTCCTCTACTATCCCAGCTCCTACTTCATCTTTCATTCCTCCCCCCCCTTGTCTAATATTTATGTCCTCCTCTGGTTCCCTCTCCACCTCCTCTGTCAGTTGGATTTTTCCTATCTTTTCTGCTAAATGTGGACTCTCCTGATCTCTAATGGGCTCCTATAGGAAGAGAGGACGGTTTCTCCTTCCCATCCCTGTTCTCACATTTGGACCACTTGAGTTAGTGCTTAAGTTCTTCTGTGATGTGGTCATTCAAAGTGTGGTTTTAAAAATCCAAAAGCAGTCAAAAAGTTGTGGAGCAAATAAGTATTCAAATGTATTGAGGCAAAGCCAATTTCATAACATTTGCCACAGAAAATAGGAACGTTAACTATCCTAAGCTAATATTTACATTCAAGTAGAACTTCAACATGGCTCCAGAACATATGCAGAATATGAATCAAGTAACAAAGTGGCAGGTGAGCATAGCATTCTCCTAAGAAAGACCAGACTAAACTAAGGAAGCTCTCTTTCCATTTTTATGCCCTTCATTCCCCTTTCTAGATCATTTAAGAGAATTCACCAATCAGGCCTCAAGTCATCCCAAATTTTATTGAACAGAGTAACTCCTTTCAAGTAACTTCACTTCCTCCCCTCCCTTTACTTCAGCTGAAACCAGTTCTGCTAATTAGCTAATGTAAGATGTGAGGTTTTGGCCTTGAAAATTCCTTGCACAAATGAGACACAGATGGCAAAATCTTCCAGGCAAATTCTCTCACTGCTGCTGGGCTACTTAATCCAGGTACAAGCTAACAAGCCTTGGTTTCAAAGGGCAACTGAAACCGTCATCCCGCCCATTTGCCAGTTTCTTGATGGATGGTGATAATGATAATTATGTATTAAATAAGCTAGAGCCTCGTCCCGTTCCTCTCTATGTACAGGTGATTCCTCTGTGTGCAGATGTTTCTTGCATATTGGGTTAGATCACACCCTTTGCTTTAATATTTACAGTAGATGATAGAGAAAGAATGGATA